TTAGTTGGTTCAGATTGGTCGGTTAGTTATTGAGCTATGACCTCTGCAAGTCCATATGCAATTACAAGAAGTAATATGCATGTCCCTTCAGCTCGCGTAAGCTAGAGTCATCCGGAAGACCTAGTTACGATTGGTTAATCACAACTCACTGGTCGAGTTAGTTACCTTCGTCATGCACTCTAAGCTATGCACATAGAAGAGTCATTGATAAGTCCTTTGACGGAGCTGATCACTCCACTCAGGAAGAGAGCGGGGAAGTTAGTTTTCAGGGTCAAATGGAGTTCGCACTCCAAAGATACTGAAGCATTAGTATGGCAGGTACATAGTCAGTAAGGGATTGGATGTAGGCCGGGACCACCTAGACGCGGAATATAAATATCGAGGTGCCTCCCTAGCTTTAAGTCCATCCTCCGTCTCCGCTACACCTCCGGCGATTGAAAACTCAACACGATGGTTTCTATCGTGGCTTCCATCGTCTAGCACCACCACCCCCCCCATCTCCCTCCCTCTAGCCTCGGCTACAGGAGGTGGGCTCGCTTCCCCTCTCCCTTATCAATATATTCGTTCTACTTTACTTCTATCTTTACGAGCCTTCTTGACTATCTCTGAGACAGAAGATTACAGGGCCTAGTGTATACTTGCTTGACTTTAGAGTTACCTACCCCCTAACACTATATTGATAACCTCTGGTTACCAAGGCTCTCTGAATGATCCCTTTGAGACCACAAATTCAATTAGTGGACTTTGAAAAACATTCAGACACCACCTTCGAACCACGATCCACGCCTATCTACGTCTCCTTCGAAACACTTTGGGAAACCGAATTAGCAGACATCCTGTTATTCGAAAAAGACGAACCCTCCTGGTTCACCTACTCTGAAGAGTAGTCGGAACCTGATTTCTTCCGCTACTACTTCAACGACCCTGACTGGGAACCTTACGGGGAACCCACCTGCGATACAACGTACCACGGTACGACTTCCGTCCTCTGCGACGACAAAGGAGGATACGAGGGATCCTTGGCTCCTTGGGCGTTGGAAATTGAGCTTTTGCACCAACGCGAACTAAACGAGGAACAATATGACGGACATACCTCAAATTACGGAGAGCGGTGAGCCGAAGGACACCGAAATGGAGGAAACCACCAACTCTCCACGATCCATTGGTGGCTGGGACCCCCGAACAGTTGGAGGACTTTTTCCGAGAAGTGGACAACCCAGCCTACCAGGCGACTCACTTGGTCTAGGCTCATGCCTAGGAGGACGACCTCCACCACCAAGCACATTCACCGAAGAGCAAAGATTCAAAAACTTTGCGACGTTAGTAGGAAGGGTGACGGCCCAGTTAGACCGAAGCATCACCCAGACCCAGAATGATCAGCAAGTCGCCTATGCGGCACTGACGGAAGTGGGAAAGCGCCTTGCCGACAAACTAGTCGGCGTAAAAGCAAGGATGGACAAAGGCGAAAGGTTCATGGGAGATGAACTAGCTAGGATGGAACGAACGGCCCAAGGGCTGCAAGGAGATGTGGCGGCGGAACTGGAAAGCTACCATTTAAGGGTAGCCAAGGAAATGACCAGGTCAAACTTGGCCCAACAGGAGCAGTCTA